TTCTCATTCTTATAGCTCTCCTTTTGTGTGTGACACATTAGGCTTTCGATTATGATACCTAACGAAGTGAATTATTAGTTTGTATAATCAAAATCGATAAATTAAAATACTCCCTTTTAATTTATCATCAATTTACATCTGTCATTCTCGATTGATATATAACAATGTATCATGGTAATACACGTGACTGGAAATGTCATGTGGTATAACAAAATCAAATGTATACGTTTACCGTGAAACTATAATCATTTCGTCAATATGATCTAATCAATTAGGAGATATGGTGATATATGTCATCTCAAATCGATTATATTTTCCATCCCACTATTAAGTCAATTTTAAGCCAAAAACTCTTTTTCAACTTATGAGTATGCATTGACTAATGATTTCATTATCAACTTAATTGAATGAAATATAGATCATAATCTCTTACTATTTAAGAGAGATGAATCATCTATTGATCATTCACGACCTTCATATGATTATTGACATACACGAACAATGCCGTATTAGTAACCATTGACATATCAACATTCAACACCACCAAATTATGATTGTTTTCGTACAAGGCACTATGATAACCTCAAGTAGAATAACCAATTCCACTATCGAACATTGGATATTAACCACCGACGACACTCAAATAGTTATCCTGTGGAATCTCCCTAGCGGGTCTCCAACGTTTTGTTTTGTAACAAATCATTTTATTTAAATGTCTCCACATTTTAACTTGAGATCAATTACTTACTTCACAAGTAAAGAATGACACACGTGATTGTCTATCCATAATAAAGATATTCGCATCTTGTTATTACTTACGACCATGTATGGTTTAGAATTCAGTTATATGTAATTTGTATTTCACAATCACAATTCCTCGTGATTAACAACAAATTACCCAGACTTGAATTTACAGATTCTATTATTTAATTTATTAGAATATTAATTAAATTAAATAATAGATCTGTGACATCTGTCATAAATTAAATGCATAAATTATATATTAAAAATGTTTATGTTAAAAGTTGACTGGATCTAGGACATGCGCTTTCGTGTCCGACAATCAAGATTCTAGCATGGGAGAATCAATTCGGCTATACGCAGCTTTGTCTCTCTTTCTCATACTTCTGGCTTTTATTTTCTACTAGTGTTCGACGTGCGTTGCACGACTCGACGTCAAGTGTATGTATTGGTAATGATTTTTTTTACTATATGTATTGTTTGTATAATTGTATGTGAAATAATATAATTGTGAGTTTTCTCAGCCTACAGAAACGCAGAAAGAGGGATTAGTACTTCCAAATGCAATGATGACACAATGTGCTTGCGAGGAAGTTCATAAATCGCTCTGAACACATATACGTTACATACAGGAAATTGTAAACTATTTCTGTTATTCCTTCTACCCCCAGAGAAAAAAAAATTCTACGAATAAAATAAAAGACAGGAGAGCGAGAATTTGGTTCACACATGGTGAGGTCAAGATAATACTACAATTCCCAGTTTGACCATTGGTTTTCCTCTAAAGCTGATCTTCCTCCAAAATTTAAGGATTACTGCGGTGATCGCATGTTTACTATTACTTCAATGACATATACTGACTAACAAAATGCAGCCCCAAGAATGTTTTTAAGAATTTGCTAACCAAAAATCATAAAATAATACTTTCAAATACTATTAAATAATTACATGACAAACCTTTACTTTCATAAAGGATTGTTATTGATGCAAGTTTAGAATATTTAAATATGAGGCCAAAACACCATACAAAAAATCAAAGACTGACCATGCGGCTCACTACATCTTCAGCATGTTGGACTAAAATCATACCTTCAGAAATGACATGCTGCTCCATGCAACCCACAGAATGTACTCACGTTAGAAAAGTCAAAAGACCT